CGCCGCCGCCGCGGCCGCGAGTGGCGTCGGTGGCCGAAGAACTTTCACGTGTCGTGTTCGTGAACGAGTGACGACATCGCAGAGCTCGTGCACGCGAAGCGCGCGCGAACGTCGTTGTGCTTGAGTGGAGAGCCGGCAGGCGGCCTACGAGTACGGCACCTGCCCCTGCCTGACTGATACGCATACAGAGCATTAATTCAAGAATCCTTGGATTAATCATGCCATATATAGTTATGATTATGATCTTAGTTTTATTTGATGATTAGGCGAGGATTAAACCTTAATCCGTCTTATTTTGAGGAGTGAAAAGCAAGGTGAAGTCGGAATGGGACCGATCATACTCTCCGCGAATGATCACGAGCGCATAGTGAAATGCGTGCGTTACCCTAGTGCTCATTCTCAAAACTGCACTCCACCGCTTCCCAAATTGCGTTTATGGAGTCTTTTTCCCACGCTCGCAAAGAACTCTACTAAAAGTTACGGTTGAATTTTCTCGTTGAAATCCAGGTGGAAGCGACGCGCATTTCCGCGTCGAACCCTCACAAATCGGAGCGCAAGCTTCTCAAATCCCTCAGCGACGAAAGAGCTGCGCGGTGGCCAAACACGCTCGAGGTCAGTCCGCGTAGTCAGCGGAATCCTCAGAACGGAAACACTCCTTTTTCCAACGTCAAGTTACTGTCTCACCCTCACCAAACAAAGTTACCCCTCGGTCCTGCCCCCCTGAACACATAAGCGTATACTCACGCACACGTCCGCATATTTTCAGGCGCAACGCTCGTACAAAATCACAGAGGAAGTCGCGAAGAAAGAATTCGAGGAGAGTTCACGCGTTGCATTAGATGAAAGCGAAGCAAAGCGAAGGGCTGAGGACCGGAGGCTCCAAATTGGACGCGCGAATAAGATGCTGTATGACTCCACAGACAGAGTCAAATCGTTCCACTCCTCGCTATTACTCTCGGATGTCCTCAAAGAAAGGGAGAAACAGATTGAATACAAAGAACTGTGTGAGACATTGAAAGCGAAGAGAGATGCGGTTTTCATCAAAGAGCAAACGATAGCACGCGAACTCGCAGAGCACGCTGAAGCAAAGAAGACAAACGAGCGAAAGCAAGCAGCATATGCACAGAAGAACGCACAACTTCACCAGCTCGAACAGATTAAACGTGACCTTCTGAATAAAAAAGAAGCTGTGCTGATTGAGGGTGAGATGATCAAACGAATTGCGCTTGAAAGGGAGGTTGAGGCAAAAATGAAAGAGGCGAACAGAAGCATGGCTGCAATTACGGTAAATAACGCGACTGCGCGCGCAAACCAAGCTTTGGATATGTACAAGGCTGAACAACGAGATGATGAGTTCGAGCTGGATGCACAGATAGATCAGTTTGCGCTTCAGAAGAGACGCGTGAACGAAGCCCGATCAGCGAGGGAAGACGCAAAGCGCAAGGAAGCACAGGGAAGGAGGGACAAGATGGTCACCTTGATGGAAGCAGACTTAGCTAGTCGCCGTGCAACGATGATACGATATGCAACGAAAGGGGTGGAGGACAAAGTCGCGGCGGACGCTGTGAATGAACATGAACAAAAACAGGAAAGAGAGGAGTCACTGCGGATAATTGATCGTTCGCGGACGCAGCAACTTATGATCCGAGCGGCAGAGAAGGCAAGAGCAGCGAAGGACGACGCTTCGTTTGTTCGGCAGTGGAAACTTCGGAACGACAAGCTGCAACGGGAGGAGGAGGAGGAGAAATTGGAAGTTATGACGCGCGCAAAGATGCTACAAAATGCTCACCTCAAACAGATAGGCAGAAAGGTACGCCAGGCAGTTGCGGCAAGGGAGCAAGAGCTTTTCGATTTCAAGAACACGAAGCGCGTGGCGATGGAAGACGATGAAATGTTCAAGCACTACACGAACGCGTGTATGGATGAATGGGCGTATCAGAAAAAAGATTTAAGGCCTATGCTCATGGAGCTTACGAAGCAGCGTGATAAGGTGTCATGAGTGGTGATATTTGAGATTGGAAACGGACTTGAGAGAAAGTACGTATCCTTGGTTCTTGTTCCCGACTCTCAACGACCATCCCGCGCTGTCAGTCCCGCTGCCCCCCATCCTCTGACACCACCATCGCGTTCGTGTATATCGATTTGATGGAGCGACATAGACATGATGCTCCCCGTGCTCAAAGGTAGGTCACTGCTCAAATCACTCTCGTGGCTGTCCCCTCCTCCGTCATCCAAGCTGACTTGCCTTCTAAACTCGCATAATGAATCCTTCGTCACAACCCACTCTCCGACCTCAGAAACAATTTTATGAAAGCTCGGACGGGACGCATAGTCCGCTTGCCAGCAACGCGTTGCGAGATTCAATACAGGCGAAAATGTTAGACGTGGGAAAAGCGGCCTCAAATCATGCCTCGTGACAGCGACGATTATGTTCACTGGCGTCACTCCCTCAAAGGCTGCGGCTCCTCGCGCCATGATCTCCCAGAGCACGATGGCGAAAGAGTAGACGTCAGACGCATGCGACGCCCTGCGGTCTTTCAAAAGTTCAGGTGCCATGTGGGAAACTGTCCCGTTCACTCGTGACATCAAGGTGAACGTCTCGGGTGGGTGAAGCAAATTTGCACTCCCAAAATCCGCGATTTTTGCACACCAGTTACTCACCCTGCCCTTATCCGGGTGCAGGAGTACGTTAGACGCTTTCAAGTCGCCGTGAATTACCCCTAGATGCATGAGATATGACATCCCAGTTGCAATTTGACTGACAACACACTTCACTGCAGCCGTGGAACCTATTCGTTTCGAAGAAGAGACGCTCATGGGGGTTCGCAGCACTGTTCTCAGTGAGCCGCCCATGCAAAACTCGGAGACGATGACTGTGTACCACGGTGTCCCCGTCTTTGCATCTCTGGCATCGTCGTCGCTATCACTCGCGGGGTACAAATCAATCTCGTTGTCATACGTGCGTGCTTCATGTACCCTTGTTTCGCCGTCCAGCGCAGCAACCGATGCTCGTTTCTCCTTTTTTTTATTCTTCTCAGAGTTGAGGCTACGGCAATGCATTTTCTTCATTGGATTCACGCCAGTGTGATGCTTCAAATACGTCACGACGTTCGGATGTTTTAGGCGTCGGATGATATCCGCCTCTCTACATGCCGCTCGTGATACTTCGAGGTTACGATCGATATTTTTATTGGGAGAAATCCTGCCAAAGGTATTTCCGCGTGTTCTTGCTGGCGAAGGGAAGGTAACACATGAACGGTCTTCGCATTCTCGAGCGACGCATTCGTACTCGATCACCTTCACTGCGATTGCGAGCGCGCCGACGTCCGTGGTGTACGCGCCGCGGTACACTTTGGCGAAACCACCGACCGCGAATGGTTCTTCATCAAGGTACGTTACCTTGGGGAGATGCTTCTCGTCAACAGGTTTTCCTTGCCGCCGCCAGCTGTTACGCCGCGGTCGCGATGCCGACCGCGTATTTATACCAGTGTGTTTCGAATTAGGATATCTATTGTCCACGGCCGTCTGAGGAGAGGAAGTCGACGTCTCGACTGGAGCGTCCGCTAGAGTCCAGTGCGCACGTGGGTCGTCGAACGAACGCCAGAAAAGGTCCCCGTCCATCGTTAATTCGCGCTCAAACTGCAACGCAAGTTGGATTCCACCGCGCACTCTCTCATTCGGCATGTCCTCGCTCGCTCGCCGGTTCTCAGATGGACCTGCAAAATCGTCCCTCGACGTCCTTCTGGAGTTTGCATTCGATTCACCGTCGTGAGATGAACTGAGGGTATCTGTCATTCTGTCAAAAGTTAATCCTTGACAAGCAATTACGTGATATGCGCGTCCACCAGCCTCATTTGACACATAACTCGAGTTCGCACGTTGAACTAAATCTTTCAATGAGTCGCTCCTGGGTGCGAGTCCGGAAGACGGTGTTCTTCGCAGTGTCTCTCGCCCTTTCAAAACATCGGCGCTCATGGGTACAGCCTGGCGCTCCTCAAATCGTCTTGCTTCTTCAATGCCTTCACTCACGCGTCGTAAATCTGGATGCCGAGCGCCGTCCCGTGCGGGGACTCTTCGACTAGGCGTGTTGACTCTGGAATTTGTCTGCATAGGGTTTACTGTGTCGTCGCCACTAGTGGTATACGTCTCTATTCCCAACACGGGGGATGCCCCGGCAGTTGAAAATCTGTGTTTCCGTTTATCTGGCAGTTCCCTTCGAAATACCTTTGCAACTTTGGACCACCACCGCTTCTTTTTCTTCTTCTCCGTTTCTAGTTTTGAATAAATATCCCTGGCATTAGCCACACTCTCAATCGACGTCCTAAACTCCGCAGTAGATGTCGATCCTGTTTCCACCAATAAATGGTTGCGAGGATCTAATGCACTATCTGTTCGGCGTACGATGGTATTCCTCGAGCTCTTTACCTGCTTGTCCGTGAACCAGATCGCATCTATGCTATCCCTGCGACCATCTATGCTTCCCTCTCGCCCGGTGTCCATATTAACTCGTCTAGTCGCGTCAACGCTACATGCGGCTGCTGTCTCATTACCTTGGCAAGGCAGCGTCTCCACGCGCGCGCTGTCGAAACTATCCCTTTTAGACGCCTCATTTGTAGCCAAGGCGGCGGCGAGAGAGGTGTGAAACTCGTATGGCGAAACGATACGCACTTGACTGGATCCAATTCTATCAACCCCCAGTGCAACGTTCGCTTGAGTCGACGGCTGGGTGTCCTTCCGGGATTGCATGCTTTCATCATCGTTAATTTTATTATCAACCTCATCCTCCGATGAAGCTGAGGAGCACTCGCTTTCCCCGCGTCGTATTGACTTCTCGCTCCTGTCCTTCAGCTTCATGGTCGCACTCAAATCTTCGCACTCCAGGGCAGCGCACCCGCGGGCTTCGGCCCATTTGACTATATTCTTCTCTAACCCGCCATGTGTGGAAATGTGTGCACTCGTTTCCAATAATGCACGGGACTTTTGCTTCACCCCCGCGGTGAGCGGGCCACCACGTACTCGATCGGCTTCTTCGTCGCCATCGAGCCCGTCAACATCTACTTCTTCAGCTTCTTCAGCGTCTTTACTCACGTGTTCTGACCACCGCGGGACAGGTATTGCGACTGCAGCACCCGGTCTGAACCGTTCACACTTTACCTCCAACGTCTTCCCGCTGCTCTCGCCGTATCCGAACGGGACGTCCATCAAAAGTGTATCCCGAGCGGGGTCGAAATCGTGCGGAATAATTGCTTCAAGCATGACGTCTCCACGGTACGTGCTGCTCTTGAGCAGCTCGTCGTTTTGTCCGAATGCGGCCGCAACCGCTTCCGCGATGTTCGTCACGTCCGCGTCGTCGTTCTTCGCGGTGGAATGATAAAAAAACGTATCAGCTAAGCGAAACGACCGCCCTCGCGATGAGACTAGCACGTCACAGACGGACAAGGAACGGTCATTTCCGCAGACCAAGGGGTGGACGGGAGACGCAGCCCGCGCTGAAGGCGCGGACGGCGCGGACGGCGCGGACGGCGCGGACGGCGCGTCAAGTCTGGGGGTGGACGTAAAGAATGACGAGCGGGAGACAGCCGTATATGCTGGGACGATCCGTTCGTCTGCCGACGCGGTTCCGCAGTTCCCTCCCTCCTCCATATCGCCACACGCCGTGGTGGAAGGGAAGGATTGTATCGCCGTGGTGGACCTCGTGTACGTGTAGGAAGTATAAAGTTGCTTATTGTATCTTCGCTCCGGAAGTACGTGTACGGAAGTACTTTCGTACTTTCGTACGAAAGTACAAGAGTGTCAGGGAGACTGGAGCGAAGCTCCTGTCAGTCTCCTGTCTATAGACACCAGCTGTATGAACGTCTGTTATCAGTATTACCTCCGGAAGACTTCCGTACGTGTACACGTACTGTACACCTGTAGGGCTAACGTTTTATCTTGAAGGCACACATAAACGTTTTTATGTGTATGTAGTCGTGTACGAAGGTACAGTAGTTGTACGTGTAGTGTAGTGTACGTGTAGTGTTCTCAGTACTTTCGAAAGTACTTTCGTACTTTCGAAAATACTTTCGTACGAAAGTACCTTCGAAGGTACTGTACATGTACACGTACACGTGTACACGTACACGTACAGAGTGTAGATAGCAGATAGACCCTGTTTTTTTATTCAAAGATATGGAAGTATTTGAGTACACGTCCAACGTACAGTACGTGTAGAGCTGTACACGTACACGTACAGTAAACGTAGTGAATACTTGAATTGATGCTGCGGAGATAAGTTGTAGGGCTATTGTCATACTCGAAAATCGTACTGTATGTTGTAGTTGTACAGTTGCCTTGAAAAGACTTCAATAGATACAGTGTGTACAACACTGTACACGTATACATTTTGGTAGTTTTTAGTATGCTTCTTTTGTTTGAGGCGACCTGACCACTTACTGTACGTGTACGCTACGTGTAGGTTTCCAATTTTCATTTTTTGGTTTTTTTAGTACACGTAGTGGTAGTACGTGTAGTAGTAGAAAGTAGTATTACTTTCACCTATCAAATACCTTCGTATGTTTATAAATAGGGAAGGCCTAAGCCCTTTAAGGTATCCGAAGAATTCAGGACTGTTCTTGAAGACAGCTGACAATACCACCCCTGCTGTGCTAAAAGAACCAGCAACGCCCATCATAACATGATTCTTTTCGCTGGATGCAGTTCTCTCAAAACATTTCCTGATATGCAACCGACCCCCGCCCAGCCACCAAAATTCACCGGTGTCGAAACCGTTTACTTCTGGTGACCAGCTGCTCAGTTCATGCGACGCACAAGTGCATTGATTTTATCCTCACGGTTACCTGCTTCACCACCTTCGATGTAATGCAGACGCTTCTTAGTCATGCCACCCAGGGGCGCAGAGAGCTTAAATGGCCATAGAAAGTTGGAACATGCGGTGAAATGTGGTCCAACTGTGTAAATCTCGTGAACAAGATCCTCAACACAGATAATCCCCTTGTCGCCAAGCGCTTTCTCAATGATCGCGTTATCTGTCAGCGGCACGCGCTGCTTGTTCACCTTGCCGTACCCGCGCTTGTAAATTAGCTCCTTAACCGTCTTCAGATTGGGGTATCCAAACATCACGTACGGTTCAACCTTTTTCAACATGTTTATCGTCGCCTTGTTCACACGAAGGAAAATGCCGTTGTGGATTTGACGGAGGCGCATCAGTTGTAAAACTTTGCGAGTCTGGGGGTGGAGATCGTTCAGACCACGGAGCCGCATGACAAACATGAGTTTGGCCTCGGGTTCAACGTAGAACCCTCCTTTCGCACGGGCGTCACGCTTTAGTCGTACCAAGTCCGCTTCCTGATCGCGGTACTCTTTTACATATTTCTCTGCGCGCTTGAAGATCTCCTTGGAGTTCTTCTCTGCGTGAGCCTTCGCCTCAGCAGCGGCGGCAGCCTTCTTTGCAGCCCAAGCCTCATCGCGCTTACGCTTCTTGAGCGCAGTTTCCGGAACAGCGGGCTGTGATGTTAAGTGGTGGTGTGAGTAGGATAGGATGAGAACTAATGATTTGATTTGATTGTCTCTTGTGTAAAAAAGCCGGCGGCTTCCTTCTGACGTGTGGAAATGACGCAGTTGCGGGCTGATCGGCGTGTGAAGAAAACCCGGTATTGCATAAAAACCATGCGGGACGATATGTGGACCTCAATGCCCCGCGTTCATGTGGTGGAAGATGACGTCCGAGGCAGCGTATGCTGAACGCGAACTCGCCAACGAGACTTGCCCAAGGAAGGCGAAAAAGAAAATGGTGTGTTTCCGGAAATCCTCACGTAGGATGCTCGATCCATCGGGCATCGAGCGGGGACGGGATAAGCGAGAGCTGGGGCGCGCACCATGATGGTCTCGTTTTTGCGACGTTGCACGCTACCTGCAGTGGACAGTGCGCGGCGAAATGAACCTCTCAGGTCGCTTCCACCAAAACCCTAAAAAAACTTTCGTACAGAATAGTTCCGGAAAAAAGTCTGTAGTTGTACAGTACGAAGGTACGAAAGTACGTCGTTGTACAACGTACTTTCGTACGAAGGTATTACATATCTATCTACAATCCTTCGGGGGTACTTTCGAAAGTGTCTATCTTCGTAGCTAAATAGAATACGTACAGTACAATAATAGTTGTACTTGTACGAAACAGAATTCTTGTACGAAAGTACGAAAGTACCGAAGGTACCTCCGTAGTACGGACAACGTTGTACCTTCGTACCTTCGTACATACCTTCGTAAAGATATGCACGTGTACTTTCGGAAGTACGAAAGTATCTATTTTCGAGTACGAAAGTACCTTCGAAGGTACGGAAGTACACGTACGCTGTACCTTCGAAGATAATATTTCCGGACATACGTCATAAAGTTGTTACTTCCGGAAGTACTTTCGAAAGTACTTTCGTACCTTCGAAGATACTTTCGTACAAGGTACGAAAGTAGTACAGAGACACACACCTTCGTACGAAGGTAGTACACGCACAGTACTGTACTTCCGTACCTTCGAAGGTACTTTCGAAAGTACTTCCGGAAGTACCTTCGAAGATACAGTATTATTATATATGCTGTATGAAGGTACTTCCGGGTATGAAGATATTTGTGTACTGTACTTCCGGAGGTACTTCCATAAACGTTAAAAGTACTTTCGTAGGGCTACATCGTTGTGTCGGAAGTCTTTGTGCTTTCGCGTACCTTCGTACGAAAGTACTTTCGTACAACCAAAATCAAGGACCGCACAGTAGGTTGCCTCGCAATGAGCGATCGCGAGGTGGGTCGGGGCTCCAAGTTCAATAAACACAAACAATGTGAACGCGAATGTGTAGAAAGGAACGAGTGGAGTCTGTACCAGATCCGTGGCGAACTGAATCCGGGTGAACTGCAGACAGTTCGACCTCCCGGCACCGACCGACCGTGGTAGGGCCCTACTGTATGTTTTTGAAAACTACTTCCGGGAAAACAACTTTTAGTCTTTGGCTAAAAGAATTCTGGCTGTACACGTACTGTACAACGTTGTACTGTACACGTACAGTACACTTTATTATGGAGAGTTTTACGTTACACGGAGCTTGTACGAAAGTACTTTCGTACGAAGATAGTCCATAGAGTGTCCATAGTGCGTGTACTGTACGAAGGTACACGTTAACGTTGTACAGTGAACGACTGCACGTAGCCCTATTGCTAGCTAGCTAGTACGAAAGTACTCTCGAAAGTACTTTCGAAAGTACGAAAGTACTGTACTTTCGTACTTTCGAAAGTACGAAAGTACCTTGGTAGACACTTGCTAGCTAGACAGTGTTTATTGTTGGGCCTTCGAGGCATAGATCGAACCGCGCTGTGCGGAACTTCCACGGCCTCGGCCACCTCTACATCTGAATTCTCCTCGCCTCACTTCACCGAGTTTATCGAGTATCGAGAAAGGTATAGACCCCCCTTGTGCATATTGCAGCCAGCTAAAAATGGCCGATATATTCTTTATTCTGAACTCCGGACCAGATCTTTCGTCGGTCCTCTCTCTGATGTCCTTTTCCCGAAATTCCTGCGCTATCACTCCGTCGCCTCAATGTCGAACCTTTGATTGCGCTTGATCTTTGCGGCATTATGTAGACGTATGAGATCACCGCTCTGCTCTGTTTAAATTTATGGTTCGCTTTGGAGCTCACAGTAGATCTTTTGCTTTATTTTCGCGAAAAAAGAACGGCAGTCGAAGATTTCTCAACAACGTCCCAGTCCAGTCTTGCACGAGCATATCATACGCTAGCGTGCTGACGCGAGCCTCGAACCCATCTTAACCTTACTATGGCAGGTTCCCCCACCCGATTGGAACTTTTTTTTCGATGGTGGCAACTGCTGCACAGCTACGTGCTGTGTCTCCTGCTGCTCTTCCACTCCAGCAGCTTCGCACAAAAACCCGCTTTGCACTCAGTATTGCTCATATTACTCCGTCAGGCAGCCGTTGCGCTGCTAACAAGTTACGCGCGGTGGCATCGGATGCCGATGAAGTATCTATGTTGGAAAAGATGCTGAAAATTGCCAAAGAGCGAAAAGAGAAGGAAAACGGTTCTGCTGCTTCTCCCCCAGAAACACTGTATGATGGCAAGGGTTTTACAATAAAAACTTTTAATGCTATCTCTGCAGTTGGTTTGGACAAGTTTCCGAAGGGCAAATATGTTGTCGCTGGTGACGTCGGTGACCTTCCTGAAGCCCCCATGGGCATCATGCTCCGCTCCCATAAGTTGCAACTGGACGATGTACCTCCCACTGTGCGTGGCATCGTCCGCTGCGGTGCTGGCACCAACAATATTCCTGTCAAAGAGATGACTGAGCGAGGAATACCAGTTTTCAACACGCCCGGTGCGAATGCTAATGCCGTAAAAGAACTTGTAATTTGTGGTCTCCTTCTCGCTTCCCGCGGCATTATAGAGGGAAATAATCACGTCAACACCGTGATTAATACAGAGGAAGCTGGAGACTACGAAAGAGTGTCGAAGCGAATTGAAGCTGATAAGTCCATGTTCGGTGGAAAAGAAATTGAAGGAAAGACACTAGGTGTGATTGGTCTTGGCGCCATTGGCTCGCGGTGAGTCGAAAAAATGCACCTTACTATTTTCAAGTCTTGTTATTCCTGTGAAGAATAAAGAAAACTGTGGTGCCACTTGTCATGAACATGCTGTGTTGCTGTTTCCGTACTTTTCTCGCCGTTTTTCGCGTGTTTTGATCCTTTGCTGTCACAATAGTCATGCATCACTTTGTACCCGTGACTGACCTACTCCATCTCGTGTTGACCAGTGTTGTATCTGCTGCTCTTGCTCTTGGTATGAATGTCATCGGCTATGATCCCGTGCTATCTTTAGATGCTGCCCTTCAGTTACCTGGTGACCGCATGAGGCGTGTTACTGACCTTGATGATATCTTTGCCGAGGCAGACTACATTACTGTCCACGTTCCTTATATCAAAGGTGTTACCCATCATCTTATTAACTCCGAAGCGCTCTCGAAGTGTAAATCCAATGTGCATTTACTCAACTTCGCTCGTGGTGAGATAATTGATGGTGCTGCTGTTCGTTCTGGATATGATACAGGGTTATTGACAGGAAAGTATATTTCGGATTTCTCTGATCCTGATCTGATGGGACACCCGCGCCACCTCGTGCTTCCGCATCTGGGCGCCTCAACTGATGAAGCAGAAGAAAATTCAGCTGCTATGGCTGCTCAGACGATGATGGACTTCCTTGAGACTGGCACTATACGCAACTCTGTCAACTTTCCAACCACTATTCTAGCCCCTCAAAAGAATTCTTCTGGCGCCCGCCTCTGCATAGTGAACCGCAACGAGCCTGGCGCTCTTGGAGAGATCACGACATTCCTTGGGTCTAGAGGTCTGAATATATCGCAGCAGATAAACACTTCCCGCGGGGATATTGCGTACACAGTCATTGACTTCACCAATCAACCAGAGGACGCTGAAGCAATTCAGGCCGAACTCGCTAAAAACTGCAGTTTCATAATTTCTCTTCGTTTCCTTGGCATGGTATTCGCTGATGAGCTTGGTGAACCGGGCACCTATTTCTATGTTTCATGGGCCAAATGATTCGCAAACAAAAATAAATATGCATGATATTCTATGATATCACTACTTTGATATTTTTATTTAAATATTTATTTGAATATTCCTCTGATATCTGGACTATTAGCTAGACTACACGTACACGTACAGGACATAAACGACATATCATATGATAGACAGTTCATATAAATACGTAAGAAGGTAAAAGTTGTTTATAGATATACAGCTATTATTGTTAATAGTTGGAGTCTCGATACCGTTTTCGAAAAAAGAAAACATAAACATGTAAAAGTACAGTACGTGTAGCCGTATCTACGAAGGTACATGTACATGTAGCACTCATGTACGAAAGTAGCTAGCTAGCTAGGCTAGCTACTTCCGTACCTTCGAAGGTACGTGTACTTCCGGAAGTAGCTGGCTAGCTAGCAGATATTATTACCCTGTATCTTCGAAGGTACTTTCGAAAGTACGAAAGTACGAAGGTAATAGCTAGCTATGTACGGAAGTACTTCCGGAAGTACTAGCTACTACTCGTAGAGCTAGCTACGAAGATAGGCGTCACAGGGGGGGGGGGGGGTCTGCCCGTGTCTACCCCACTATAGGCCACTAGGTGGGCCGGGGGGGGAGGGGGTCCCCCGCCCACTACCCCGCTATGTCGCTACCCCGCTACCCCGGGGGCCGGGGGAGGGGTATGTCACTACCCCGGGGGCCGGGGGAGGGGGGTGGCCCCCCCCCGGGGGAGTGGGGCGGGGACCCCCTCCCCCCCCGGGCCACCTAGGGGGCTATTGGGGGGGAGACACGGGGAGGCCCCCCCCCCCCCCTGTGACGCGTA